GGAGAGGAGAGGAGAGGAGAGGAGAGGAGAGGAGAAGAGTAAAGAGAGTGGAAAGGCAGTGAAATTTCGAGAATTGATGAAAATTGAAAGAGGAGAAGAAAAGGTAAAACAAGCAAACGGACGATAAAATTAACGCAAAGAAAAGAGGCAAGAAACGGGAATATAATTTAAAATAAAAAAGAAATAAATCATAAAAGCCCGAATAGAAGCGACGAGGGGCCAGAGGGGGGGAGGAGAGCAGCAAAGGTCGAATTGTTATCGAGTGTACCGGCAAGCAAATGAGCACGGCCTCCTAATCTGCTGCGAGTAACGTGCCTCTGAGCAGAAGAGTTAAACTCGCCAAATCGACCTTGTCGGTTGGAGTTGCTTCAAGTCTGATAAGACAATCGTTTGTCGTGTTGCCGGACCGTAAGACCGGTCCGGTCTCTCGGAGCTCTTTCGCTTTCCGCTGCACAAACCTACCGAGTCGGCACAACTGAACGAATCGACTGCGTCTGTATGTCACTCTGTGTGGACATGTTGTGTGTGTGTGTGTGTGTGTGTTTGCTGACATGTAGGTGTGAACCGCGCGAACAGAAAAGGGGGTTGGGGGGAGTGGCGCTGTTGGGTGACGGAGTGGTTACGTGTCATCCGAGATTTGAGTACGTGGCGTAGTCAAGGCTTGAACACGTTCAAGGCACGAATCGAGACTCGACTACCATATATCTTCTCTTCTTTAACTCGCATGTTTTCTACATACAGGTCGGCTGCCAAGACGTTGTCACAGACAGACGAAAACATTAAAAAGCACATTAAAAGCGGACACACACACACGCACACATGCACACATGCACATGCACACAAAGTAACGGAGATTTGGTTAATTCTACAAATATCTCCCTTGCTTGCATCTCGTAGGTGCTCGTAGAGACAGGACTCGAATGCGGGGCATTGTGCCTGGTCTTGAGCCGGCAGACACACCGACACACACTCACACACTTGCACCGTGGCAACGAGTGGAGTCGCGGACTGAGGCGGTAAAAGAGCGTAAGCTGTGTGCCGTCGTGGGACTCGGAAGTTGCCCATTTTGAGAAGCAATTTGGCCCAACCAAATGGCACCGTTTGCTCAAACCTTTTCGGAAGTCGCAGCACTTGCGACAGCGTTGTTTGTCCGCTTCGTTTCGAGTGAACGAGACGAGTCTCGTGGAGAGATTCGACTCCCTTTGCCCTCGTTCAACGCACACAGTCCGTGCACAAGCAAGCAAGTAGAACCTCGTGAATCCGCGTTGACTTCAACCAGAAGACAAACTGACCAGGTCTCCGACAGTGCCACCAGAAATGGTACGTTGTGAATACACGAAGTGTCATGAAAATTCGACATTGTTGGAATAATGTTCATTTATTGCGAAAGTGTGTCAATCTCTGTCCCTCGAACTTTGTGTGTGTGTGTGTGTGTGTGTGTGTGTGTGT